GGCTGGGGACACCCGGGAGAAGGCACTTCAGCCGCTGTGAATGGGCACCAGGAAGAGCTGCCGCCCTTTTTTATACCATCGCAAGGAGGAGGAGGAGGAGGAGGAGGAGGAGGAAGCAGCAATGCCTCTCTGGATCTGTCCTCTCGCCCCCCCGCGCCCCCGGGGCCGAACCCCTGGGATGTGATGCTCTGCGTGTCCGGCACCGCCACCGCCTGCGAGAACGCGCTGGTCCTGGTCGTGCTCTGCTCCTCTCCCTCCCTGCGCGGCCCCGCGTTCTCCCTGCTGGGCAGCTTGGCCACCGCAGACCTGCTGGCCGGCCTGGGGCTCATCCTCAACTTCGTGTCCCGCTACGTGCTGCTCTCCGAGGAGCTCAGCCTGCTCACCGTGGGCTTCTTGGTCGCCTCCTTCGCCGCCTCGGTGAGCAGCTTGCTGGCCATCACCGTGGATCGCTACCTGTCCCTCTGCAACGCCCTCACCTACTGCTCGCAGAGGACGGCGCTGTGTGTGCACACCATGCTGGGGGGGGCCTGGGGGGTGTCCCTGTGCTTGGGGTCTCTCCCCGTCCTGGGCTGGAATTGCCTCCGAGACCTCAGCTCCTGCAGCGTCGTCAGACCCTTGACCAAGAGCAACGTGACCCTCCTGTCCGCCTCCTTCTTCCTCGTCTTCCTCCTCATGCTCCACCTCTACGTGGAGATCTGCAAGGTGGTCTGCAGGCACGCCCAGCAGATCGCCCTCCAGCAGCACTTCCTGGCCTCTCCCCACTACGTGGCCACCAAAAAAGGGGTCTCCACCCTCGCCATCATCCTGGGGACCTTCGGGGCCAGCTGGCTGCCTTTTGCCATCTACTGCCTGGTGGGGGACCCCGGTTCCCCCCCCGTCTACACCTACGCCACGCTCCTCCCTGCCACCTACAACTCCATCATCAACCCCATCATCTACGCCTACAGGAACCAGGAGATCCAGAGGTCCATGTGGGTGCTGTTCTGTGGCTGCTTTCGGGCTCAGGTGGCCTTCCGTTCCCGGTCCCCCAGTGATGTCTGAGCTTGACTCTTCCCTCCCTTGTCCACGCTGCACCCGGTCCCTCCATCTGACCCCCCCCGTCCCCCCACTCTGAACCATCACGGTGCCCTGTCCTGAAACCCAAAACCACCTCGTGAAGTCGTCGGAAACGTGGCTTAAGTACCAGCACTTTATCCGTGTTTGCATCTCCCAGGGTGGGTTCAAGGGATGGAGCTTTGGGGTCCTGGAAGGGGGGGAGGGAGGGAAGGAAAACAGACCCCAAACCCCCCCCCCCCCCCACGGCC